TATCTCATGAAGAATTAAAAATTACAATTTTCTTAGGCTGTAGCAATCCAATATCCTTTAATATCGAAACAACCAACATTATTTGCTTTATAGTCATGTACTTTATATTTTCCACAAGGAATAATAGACGAATATACAATACTATCAAATTAAAGCAATTCATTTCTTACCACACTTCTAGAACTAACAAACCCTTGTTTGTCGAATATGGAAATTGATTTAAATTTAAGCTTTCTTGCTAAATATAATAACAACCTTATTAATATCGTGCGGGTGACAATAATAATTGCAACCGCCCGTGTTTTGCCATACCAAACCATGACAATACTACTCATGGCTAGACCGCTATTTTGTGTGAGACTCAATAAGGAAGATATATTCAAGTTACAGTGTAAGCTTTGCATACCTTGTATCAAAATTGAGCCATTAATAATTTTTAAATCAAGATTCCTTAAGAGTCCATCCTACAAGGATAATTCTGACGAATCACGCTTTTCAAACCTAAAGATACACCGGAAACCTGCAACAATTGCATTACATCTTTACGTTAATTATAAAAATATAACCTTCAATGGAAAACCTGAGTTCGTCCTATTTTTGGACAATCTGAACAAAAACATAGCGTCCTCACTGGAATGCAATAAAAGTAAATCCCTCGAGGATATTTTTAATATATTTGAAATTTTTGTTCCAAAAATAAATGTCTTGAAATTGGAAAAGAAATACACCACAACTCAAAGATATTGCGGCGTTTATGGATCCGTTAAGGATACCAACGCAACTGCGTTTATCAATGTTGTGAAGTACAAATTTACCATAATGTTATTTTTCAGAGAAATGTCTGACAAAATGATTACTGTTCCTATGGAGGTGGAGGAGGGTGGAATCGATGCGTATATGTCCGACTTCCAGGGGATGCTGGACAGGTTGGATAACCCCAGTGAGGTAGGCGGGGTGGGGGTTGGGTCCTGTGCAGGGGATGTTCATGTAGAGAGGGAGTCTAACGCCATGGGCAGGAACAGGGGGATTGAAGATGGCAAAGCTAAGCCAGTACCCGTGTCAATTTCTACCTGTCCTGAACCCCGGTCTGATATTGAGAGTGTTGAAGGGGTTAAGTCAAATTTGTCAAGGGATGAAAGGGGTTGCGTTAATGAGATTGAAGTTGTCGAGAATCTAGTCGTCGCCGAGGACGCGATCCCACGCTATGCTGTTGCTGTAAGAGTGTTATCAACACAATTAAGAGAGCCTGGCAAGTACCCCCGTGCGTCGTGAAACCTCTCACCCCCCTAGTTGCACCGCGGTCCGGGTTAGTGCAAACTCAGGGAGGCGGAAAGGCGGTTATTAAACTTGTTCCGAAGGCTAATCTCTCCGTGCCAAATTTTTTTGGGGACCGGAGATCAGGGTATGCCATTAACCTTGAAGGTTTTTCATGTAACTCGAGCTACACATGCACCTTTGATATTGCTATGGACTGTAGGATTTGCCCCAATGAGCACAAAGCACAGGATTCCCCCCCCCTCACATGGGTACCCCAGCCTGTGTCAGTAAAACCCTGGGTAGTCCTCATGTAGGTACTCGTCCACACCTCTTTCACCTACCAATCCCTTAATCCTAATCCTAATCCTAATCCAAATCCTTTTCCCTAATCCTATACTTAATCCAACTCCTATCTTACTATCCTTATAATTTTTCAACTTAATTTTTCAATTTAACCTTTTAATCTTCCAAATTTTTTACCTTTTCAAAATTTCAACCTTTAAATCTTTATTTTTACAACTCAAAAAATTCCAACATTTAAACTTATTTTTTCCATTTTACACTCCTTATAAAAAAAATATTTCCTATTTTTGCTGACTTATGCCAATATTTGTCATTTGTCAACCAACTTCAACCTTTTAATCTTCCAAATTTTTTTACCTTTTCAAAAATTCAACCTTCAAATCTTTATTTTTACAACTCAAGAAATTCCAACATTTAAACTTATTTCTTCCATTTTTACACTCCTTAAAAAAATATTTCCTATTTTTGCTGACTTATGCCAATATTTGTCATTTGTCAATCAATTCACAACTCCTAAAATAAAAATATTTCCTATTTTTGCTGACTTATATTAATATATGTCAGTATTTATTTATTCCTTGTAAAAATCCTAAAATAAATGTTTTTACATTTCAATAATTCTCAGCAATTAAACTTACTTTTTCCATCTACAACTCCTAACAGAAATAATTCCTATTTTTGCTGACTTATGCCAATATTTGTCAATTGTCAATCAATATACAACTCCTAAACTAAAAATATTTCCTATTTTTGCTGACTTATGACAATATTTGTCGGTATTTAAACGTCAGTATTAAAACTCGTAAAAGCAAAATATTTCCTATTTTTGCTGACTTTTGCTAAAAACTTGCCAATAGTTTATTTTAAAACTTCCTATTACAGTACCTATTCCTATCTATCCTTTTCTCAACTTATTCCTACTGCCTAAACATTTCAAACTATCTCAAAACTGAGGAGTGAATTGTGCCTAATAGCTTGTGGAAAACGGTAAGAATAATCCACACGCAACATAGTTTCTTGCAAAAAAAAAATTATTTGTGTTTTTCCATTTGGGAAAAAAATTTTAAGTATAAATATACATATTTATACACTTTACTTATCCTCCGAAAAAAGTTAACTAAATTAACTACTGGTTCCTGATGAACTCATTCAAAAATAAAATGTCCGACATATGTCCGACACAGTAACGTAAACTCCTTATGGCACTTTTGCCTTTCAGCTTGCCTGGAAAGACAGAAAATGAAAATACTTTTCTTCAAATTTAATCTTAACAAAGAAATTTTACTGCATTATCGAAATTTCTAGTTTATTTTTTGGCTCTTAAATAAATTTGGATGAGCAAATATATATTTTCTTGTTTTCACATTATTGTTAAAATATGGCACTTTCGCCTTTCATGCCTTGTAAGAATGAATTGAAAAACCAATTGAAATTTAACAATTAAATCGCGGAAAAAAAATTCCTTTTTATCGTCCTGCTTTTAAATAATCTTAAAATAATTACACATATTTTCAAAATTCTCTTATACTTTTAAAATAGCTTGACGAGAACCTCCTGATCCTGTGCACGCTGGCTGTATGAGTCAGAAAATCTCACAACGGACAGAATAACGGTAAAAAAGATTAAATAAAGCCTATAGGAGCCCGTAGAAGATTCGCAGACGTTAACTCTTTAATATTATTCCACCGCCATTGTCAAAAATCCTATTTAAAAGTGGTCACTGACAAAAAAATTTAATGCAATTTCCCTTTAATAATATGTCAAGTATCTCTAATATCTGCCTTACTGAAAATCGATTGAAAAGTTTAATCCTTCACTATCAAAAACTAAATCTGTAATATCACGTCCTTGAAATTAAAAACTTAAAGTGATATAATTAAAAATTCCGTCTAGCGCCCTAAAATATACGACTCAAATTGCAAAAAATTTTCAAAGTTTTTCTTTATACTCAGTTAAAACTGGGTCCCAGCTGACAGACAGACAGATATCGGACCTGGCGAATTCAGTGGAGCTTGTGATGTAATTTGCTCTCATTGTAGAGCGACTTACAATTCTTGGCTGTTTCAACTCTATTCCAAGGGTTTCACAAACTCTAAATATGATTAGGTTAAAAAATCAAAAATTTTAACTCGTTTTTGGTTAGTTTAGAAAAAAGAAAGGTTACAACTCACCTTTCACAATTCAGGAATATTTCATGAAAAAACTTTTCACATTTGGTTTCTCCCTCTGCATCTTCGTCATCAGTGTTTCTCATTGCTGAGTATTGGGTTTTCAATTCCTCAATGGAAGCATATGCATTTAGTATGTCAACTTCTCTTCCTTGGAGGTCCTTCGTGATCTTTCTGAATGGGGCCATTACTGTTGTCATAGTATGCAATTCTAAACAAATATTCTAAGTACTGAAACATTTTTAAGTTCTAAAACATTTTTCCCCATCCCTCTTAAATAAAGGAGAATTAAAACTTATTCTAAAGCTTACCAACCACAAAGAGAGCCGACTCCATTGTTTGCAGAATTAATCTTGCTCTGCCAATTGTACTTACATCAAATTCTACATCATAATCATCAAATCTTTCTACTCCAACAATGATTCTTAGAGCCTTGACCATGATAGGATACGCCACCACAGCTCTAGCCCAAGACAGATCTCTCTGTGTCCACCTTGTATCTGATGGCTTTATCAGGATTTTTTTAAAATCTTTCAGATTTGTATCATTCTTGGCTAGATGCAGAGCAAGAGTTTCTCTCTTGGGGCCTGTTGTAAAGAAATCAATGCATTCCGAGAGTTGTGAAAGAAGAGTTACCATATCTATTGATTTACATGAACCTTGCACAGATAAGTTTAAACTGTGCGATGTGCAGTGCAGATACAGAGCCCTGGGGTTTTCTTCTAAAATTCTTGTAGAAAGTTAAGTATACCATACATGATTCTTTTTGAATGATATATTTAGAAAAAATCTATTTGAAAATTTGATTTAATTGAAAAGATAAAATTCATGTATACTATCCTTGACTTTTCCAGACATGTTAGAGGCCCCATCATAGGCCTGTCCAAGGCAGTTCTCCATTGGTAAGTTGTTTTCCCTCATAAAACTTGAGATTTCCTCAAATAAAGTTTCTCCTCTGATATCATCTACAGGCTTGAAATCAAGGAATTGCTCTGTTACTTTCAACTCTTTTGTAACAAATCTGATGCATAGTGACATAAACTGCTTCTTATATGCTGTCACTTCATCTGCTATTATTGTATATCCAATCGCTTCTCTGACTTCATCAATGATTTGCTTTAAAACCATCTGGCGACCTAGAGAAACAGAAAAATTATAAAAATCATAGCTTTGAAAGTGTAATTAGATGGAATGTTAGACGGATATATGGGATTGAACATAAAAAGAGCTGACAGAAAGAGTTCAATATAAATCAGAGAGAGTTTGCTAAACTCATTGTGTTCACTTAAAAGTTTCAATTTGAAATGTTTCATTAATACTTTAAGGTATTGTTCACTTGTTTGAAAACACACATGCCCTACTCTAATTTTCGAATTTTCAAACAACTAGGTCTATCTTACCATTCAATAATGTTCCTGGGGCTAGAGTCTTTGATACTTTTTCTTTAAAAAAATCATCTCATGTTTGCCAAAAACAGATGAATCTAGCTCTCAATGGACATCTTTAAAGGATAAGATTAGCTTAGTTGTGTTTCTGATTGCAAAAATGGGACAGTAAGGAAATAAGTGAACAATCTCTTGAACTGTTGATTTATGTTTTTCTTACCTACTACATCAATTATCTCATTTTGAATTTTCCAGCTTGTCATCTCCTTGGCCCCTTTCTTCTTGCTTTTCAGACTTATACTTTCATTAAGATTTGTATCATACTTCTTCAAGAGATTCAACAGACGTAAGAAGTTTCCTGGATTTTTGGAATCATCTTTCAAGCTTTCATCATGTCCCCTGAAGGGTAAGCCCTGAATGGCCAGATAAAGTACACTGTCGACCAGAGTATGTAGCACTTCAGTATTTTTTTCTCTCTTTTCTCTGAGTCTTTCCTGATAAAACGATTCGATTGAAACTCCCTTCTCAAATGCTTTGATGTTGGCGACTTTCTTGGTATCAGCCAAAAGATGAACTTCACTTTGCATGTGAACTTTCATTTTCTCTTTTATTCTTTTCCAATCAGAGCATGGTGTTGAAACAAAAACTTTTAGTCCAGATCTTTGTAACACATCATCAGTAACAAGTTGAGAACAGAGAACACAATGAACTCCTTTATTTTGTAAAGAATAGGCAAAACCATCTGGGCACATGCTTTTCTGAAAATACCTCTTTTCAACCTTCCCAATTCCTGCCTTAGGGTATTCTTTTATGCTTTGGTTCCAAGTATTCTCTGGGGGAATAAAATTGGAAGTGAGTACTGAATAAATTTCTTCTGCTTTATTGGGTTTCTTCTTTAGAACTTCACTAAAGTCAACATAAGCTTTATCAGATGATGGCTGTGTACTTGATAAAGTATCACTAGATCTTCTTGAAAAGGAATGATTTGACGACCTTGGAGTGGATGTGCTAAAGCTGTCAGAGGTATTTGGTGTACTTTTGCCAGACTGAACACTGGAGGAAGAGGGCCTTAGAGGTGGAGAACTAGACCTGAGAGATGGAGAACTAGATCTGGAAGGTAGTTGTGGAGAATTAGACCTGGGACTGGGAGTTAAAGAACTAGACCTGGATGATGGTGGTGAAGAATTAGACCTGGCAGTATTAGAACTAGTCCACGTGGGAGAACTAAACATTGCATTGCTAGTATTTTCAGAAGGACTACTGGCAGAGAGTGATGAAGAGGAGGTTAAAGAAGAATGTTTGGTTGATAAAGTAGATTGATTGGGAGATGAGGAATACTGGGAGGAGACATCAGACTCCTAAAAATACAATATTATATAGTCATAACCAATGTAAAGCAGAATGAATGTCATCATCAATTTTTCTTCTGTGAAAAGAAATTTGTATTTTTTAAATATTAAATTTCTGACAATTTTAGATTTATGATGGTTAGAACAATTACAAATTACAAAATATTTATAGACATTTCTGATTTCTTAATATAAAAGAAAGACCAAAGACAACAATCATTCTTTCAGCTTTATTCTAGTGATGACTCTTTATCATTAAAGTGATAAAAGCATTTTTTTGAGTGTATGATTATGAAGTTTACAGAAATAAAATATTTTAAACAAACCTTAGCTTTCTTAGGTTTCAGAAAACTTAACATTGATGATTGTTTTCTTTTACTAGATTCATGACTCAGGGATTTATTCCCAGTCATTTTAATGTTTAATCTGAAAAAAATACAATACTTAAAAAAAAATTTTTTACTTGTACTAAACAATAAACAATAATTATTATAAGCATATGATTTCTGGAGACACC